TGCATATAAGTATTTTTAAGGAATAGAGTTTTATGTGTACATGTGTGTATACTTACATTGTTAACATAGTGCGATACATGTGTGTACTTAGAGTGTTAACACAGCACAATGCATATACATTGATATATTTCTTAAGAAATATCTGTGAAGAGCTATCATGCTTTTGTCAATATTTGCTTCATTTGAATTATTTATACTTCTGAAATTGTGCTTGTGCCTTAAGAAAATTAATCAATGCAGTACTGTTTTATATACAGTAAGCTTTGTTAGTAGCATTGAATACCACCAAAGAGACAAAACTAATAGAATGTATACAAAATATGACATTTATAATTTTTACAAAACATATTGATGTGTCACATAAAAATGTGACTTTGTGATAGTGTTACACGAAAACTTCAAGATGAATTAAGATTAGGAAACTTCAGTATTCCACTCTTACCAATAGACAGGTCATGCATACAAAAACTAAACAGAGAAATAATGTCATAAATCAAATGAACCTAGTAGGCATCTGCTGATCATCTCACCCACACACGAAAAGATGTACTTTCTTCTCAGCAGCCACTCATGGTACTTTCTCCAAAATTGAGCATGTACTAAAACACAAACTAATTCAACAGATATAGGAAAATTGAAATAATACTATGCATCATGTCTGCTCCCCATGTATTGAAGGTGGATATTATCAATAGCAGGAACATCAAAAAGTATAAAAACTCATAGAAACAGAACAAATCACTACTGAATGAAAATGTGGCAAGACAGTAATAAAAAATAAAATGTTTTTAGAATGGAATACAAATGAAAACACAATATATCAAACCTGTGGGACACAGTGAAGGTAGTTATAAAACACAAGTTCATAGCATTAAGTGCCTTCATTAAAAAACTGGAGAGATCTCATATTAGTAGCTTAACAACACACCCAAGCATGGGTACCCATGCCCAACATTACCTGGACCTCATGATCTACAAGCTGGATAGCTCAAAGTCCTAGGGTAGAATCAAACACAACTGAAAAAAAATCACTATACTCATTAATTGGTACCTGGCCCAACTGTCAATCAAAGATGCTTCCTACAGCAGATAATGAGGGTTTATGCCTAGTCTATTTGCATCTTGTTAAGCTGTGTTGGGTTGATATTACTGGGAGTCCTGACTTTTCTCTGAAGGGAAAAGGAGGAAGAATGGATCTGAAGGAGAGGGAACATGAAGGAGTCACTGGGAGAAGATAAGGGAGGGGAAGTTGTGGTTAGTTTTTATGGTATGAGAGAAGAATAAATAAAACAAATAAAACAAAATTAAATAAAGATCAAACAAGCAATTTAAACAGTCACATAACGCCTAATGAGATAGAAGCAGTAGTTTTAAGTACAATTGCCTCCCCCTAATAAAGGGTCAGAATAGATTCTACCAAACCTTCAAAGAAATAATACCAATACTCCTGAAATTTATTTGAAAATATAAGCTAGAGAAACATTTTAAGCTCTTTTTAAGATACCAAAGCCACACAAAAAAAAGATTCCTCAAAAATAAAAATTATAAACCAGCATTCTTTTTGACTGTAGATGCAAAAATTCTTATAAAAAACTTACAAACTAAATCCAACAATACCATGATCATGCTAGTTCATCACAGAGATGCAAGATGGTTCAACACACATTAATTCATTACCTTAATGTGTCAAATAAGCAGATATGAGACAAAAATTACACGGTGATCTCATTAGATGCAGAAAAGGCCTTTGACAAAAACCAGCATTCCTTTGTGATAGAAGTCCTTGCATACAAAGGGCATATATCGACATAATTAAAGCAATTTACATCAGTCTTCCTGCCTACATAAACCTATACAGGGAGAAGCACAAAGCATTTTCGCTAAAATGAGGAAGAAGACAAAGGGTATCCATTCTTTCTGTATCTAATCAATATTGTATAGAGTTTTAACTAGAGCAATGAGTCAACTGAAGGAGATCAAGGGGATATAAATAGGAAAAGAATGATATGATTTCATATATAAAAGAAGACATCAGAAAATAGGGAGATTTTCATATGTTCATGGATAATTAGAATAAATAGTTTGAAAATGGCCATTCTACCCAAAGTGACCTACAGATTTAATTCAATTCCCATCAAAATTACAACACAATGCTTCACAGAAATGTATAAAAGTACATTTTAAACTTTATGTAGAAACACAAAAAGGCCAGGACAGCCTAAACAATCCTGAATAATACAAAGTTTAGAGATATCACTAGCCCAGATTTCAAATAATTTTACAGATCAATAGTAATAAAAATAGAATTGTGTTGATATTAGAAGTGTTGATTATTAAAATCTAATTGAAGATCTAGACCTCCAAATATTGTATGTTTTCTCTTATATGTGGTTGTTAGCTTTTATGCTTTCTATATGTGTATTATAATCTGAAGAACCACAGAGTTTAGCCACTAAGTAACATATTAGCAGGAGGGGAGGAAAGGCTCTCCAAAGAAAGGAGGAAAGAATATAACCGTATAAGGAGAGACAAAGACAAAACTGGAATGGGAGAATTGAATAGGGAGGAAAAATGCAAGGGGTAAAGGAAGAAGTAATTGAGGACAACTAACGCTAAAGGCTATTTGAAAAACCATAAGGAAACTTACTGTTCAAATGCTTCCTAAAACATACACAAACATGAAAAGAATCTAAATGGAGTCACCAAATACTAGGGAGACAATGCTCCAACTAGACTTCGTATCTCACCAAATGAAACTTCCAATGCCTGGGATAAGTTACATCATGCTTAGTCATGGGCTGAAAGTAAACCCCTAAATATCACAGGCTATGCCAAGGTCATTAGTTACTCTCTACAAGATTGTAAAGCTCTATTTATGAAGATAACACCTATGCCATCACACACACACACACACACACACACACACACACACACACACACGAGCTTGTGCCTAACTAGAAGATTTGCCTGTTTTCCCTAGGTAGCATACACAGCTACAAACTGTGCAACCTATAACAGTGACCTGCCTGCAAGATATACTGGTACAATACAGGCACAAGTGTCATGAGTGTAACCAACCACTTTTTAAAAATAATTGTATTTAAGACCTACTCTATGAGATAAAACCAATATTTTTTTAAAAATTTATTTATTTATCTGTTTATTTATTTATTTTCAAATCGTAATTTTTACTTATTCACACAGGGTTTATAAACAGAAAAAGGCAGGGCATGGGGAAGGGGATGACACTGGAGCGTGGGTGTTCAGGGGGAATACAGATATCTTTCAGAACAGGGTATTGGCTGAGTGAAGGTTCAGGGGACAAGTCGCTATGGCTCTGCCTATGATTCACTTGTCCTTATCTAAGTTGGTATTATCTGCCATGGCTACCTATTTACAAGGTCTATGATTACTCAGGATTGTAAATTTCCACAAAAGCTGCCTGTTTACAATAGCTTATAGCCCTCTGTTTCAATGTTTTTCTACAGAGACACAAGACTTGATGTTAGTATGCGTGTATAGGCCTATTGCTGATTTTAGGCCTATGGCTGATTTTAGGCCTTCAGTGTATAAGCAGGGCTGCCCCTGACATCTCCTCCCTTTTCTAAGTATAGAAGGGTTGTGGCGATTCTAATCTTGCGAAGGCGGGGATAGTGGCCTGACCTCCAATAATTGAAAGGGACTTTGTAACGGTTCCGGTCCCCCTGTCGTTGTCCAGTGAGGTATGAGGGCCATACCCATCCCGATGTCTTTTTCCTAGAGAAGGGATACTTTTGACATCAACCTCTATGCAGTCAGGCTTGTTCCTCAGGGAACCCAGAGAGATATTTTTAACTTTTATTTATATTCCCTTGCCAAGAATTCAGATCGCCAGTCAGAGGGGGTTCTGGGTGGCCCCTCTCTGGGAAAAGCGAAGGCGAAGAAATTAAATAGTTCACCCAAAATGTGAATAGTAACTATATCTTGATATGAGACTAGAATTTATTTTTTTCTGTGTAGTATTATGAAGTGTGTGAAATTTGTATATATTCTATAATAATACTTATTACTTTGTTATTCAGAAAACAATCCCACCTACAAGGTTAATATTTTTTTCGCTCTCGAATATAACATCTGTGAGAGCATAAATTGTTACTGGCTTTGTTCATTGGTAGTTTTACCATGCCATGAATATTATTTGAGAGAGTATGGCTTTTAGAAATATGATTTGAAAAAAAATGATTAAGTATAAAAATAAATATATTGCTCCATTTCTAATGATGATTTTAGGAAGTAGATACTGTAGAATTAGTGTGTGTGTGTGTGTGTGTGTGTGTGTGTGTGTGTGTGTGGTTTTAAAGAGTTAATATATAAGCTATTAAGGATTTTGAATACCTATCTTTACCTTGTCTTCACTGAGAGTACATTCCTGTCTTACGGAGTTTGCTTGACCCGGAGAGGGTTAACTAACAAATGGAGGTACGAATTCTAATGCTTGGGATTTGAAGAAGTCTAACAGAAATCTTTTACTATTGGCAAGTACCTTTAAAGTAATCCCATTTCCTTAAATGTAAGCAAGAAAACCATAATTAACCTGTTAGCAAGTGACATTTTGCTATCCATGAAAATATAGGCATATCATTTGCATAAGACAAATGTACTACATGAATCTTTAGGCTTTGACAGCTAGAATGGAATTGATTCAAGGTTGAATGATTGTCAAAAAATGACAATTGACAAATCATGAGATATTAAATTGTATTTCACTTTATCCACAAAGGGAAGGCGCTCAAGTAATTTTTAGTATGTATGCAACTTAGAGCTAAATTCTGCCATGAAAACAAATTAATGTCTTATTTTAACTTTTGTCTTTCTCCCATATTTTCCCAAAGTTGCAGTAGGATATGAGAAATTGATAGTAAAAGTCATCTGTAATATTTTTGTTGGAATTGAGTGTTAAGTAAGACAGTATCAATGTGTATTGCTAACAGAGAGCTTTATCTCCATTTCCTCCTCCACAGGATTCAGAATTTCCTGTAGATATGCAACCAGATCCAAACTTGACTGCATGTATGGAAAACCTTTCTGCCGCAAAATTTGACTACAAGCTAAACAATATTTTCAGACTTCATGAACTCCCAGTGAGCTGGTAGGATGCTGAACATTTTCTTAATGCTTTTGAGATCTTGCTGTCCTGTCTAAACTGTGGTGGTCTTTAACTATTCGTAGCATATGAGATTTACCCTCACCCTGTGTGTCAATAGCTACTTCAGCTACTCACAGCAAAGAAAGAATCTACTTATAGTCTCTGGAACATTGCAGTCTAATTGGTTTAGGCACATGGTGGCAGTGTAGACTAAGTGCATTATTGTGATTATTACTGTTGAGCTTATAGTTCCAACTTACAAGAACACACACGGTTTTAAGAGAGTTTCCAAGAATTATTTAAATCCAAGATATGAGAATCTATGGATTTTAATTATTTTCTTGATTCTAGCAATGTACTTTTCAGGTAATGTAATTTTTAATTTGCTCTTCTTGAAGTCATAATTTCATGAACTGTAGACACATTGATTTAAAGTAAAAACATATTATGTGACATTTATTAAAATATAATTGCTTTATGAATCTGAACATTTATATCTATACATACAGAAAATGTATTTTTATATCTTTTGCCATTGATAGGGTTGGTAAGGTTGGCTTTTTTTTTTATAAGAATGTTCCTGTCAATAATCTATGAATATAAAATAAAACTTTGAAAAACTTAAACTTCAGTAAATACTGTTTGACAATAATCATAGGTACTAATTTTAGCTTAGGTAAGTAGCATCACAGTCTTGAATTTTTACATATAATCTAAAATATATGCAATTTTTCCTCAAGAATTTATGATTTGGGTAATAAATGTAAGAAAAAGAACTGTCATTATTTATAAACTTCTTCAAGAAGAATATCTTCAAGAGTAATATCTTGTGGTATTGTAATTACATCTATTTTATCTGTAGTTCTTCTCTTTTTCATTTGAAATGTGTCTGTTGCTTTTGATGATATTATGATATGTGATGTGATATGTATACATGTATGTATATATGTACATATATATGTCACATAGTTATATACATACAAACATGTGTATATATATCACATAGTATGGTATATAAATGCATATATATGTATACATATAACACATATGAGATATATTATGGTATATGAATATATATGTATCTTCATATAGGAACATTTATGTGTATATATATGCATACATATATATGTGGTTACTATTGGATTATCTTAAAAAACAAGAATGTTTTATATGATGTTTTATGTATATATGGCATAATAGATATGATTTTAATTACATGATTAATGCCCATAGGTCAATGAGTGGAAATTTCTATTAACATTTGAAGAGAATCAAAAAAATGATGCATTCATCCCTTATGGCTCTAATTACATTAGGATATACAGCTTTGTGTGTGTGTGTGTGTGTGTGTGTATTTGTTTGTGTGTATGTGTCCCTGTTTGCATATGTATTGCTTTGGAAGAAAGGTTGTAAATTTCATTAAATGTCATTTAACTATATATGATTCTATATGCTGTTTCTTATATCAGCAAGCACCATCTATAATTTTATTTTATAATATAAAACTATTTTTCACATATTTTACTTATACTTCATCAATGGGTATAATCTGACTTGTTATAAAAAGAGACCTAGTTATTTTAGAATTGGATTTTAAGAATTTTCTACAGTACACTCTAATCAGCCCAGGCAATGGCAAGAATATGAAAATTTTATTTGATAATAAAAAGAGAAGAGATAAATCACTCTTTAGGAAGAAATACTCCTGTTTGAACAAGTGTCCAATAGTCTGTGTTCCAAAGACAATATATGTATTGAGTTCTCTTTTTCTCTTTTTCTTCTTTTATTGAACACACACACACACACACACACACACACACACACATTCTGATTATGGTTTTCCCTTCCCTTACTCCTTCCTGTTCTTTCCCACCTCCCCTCCCATCCAGATCCATAAATTTTCTGTTTTTCATTGGAAAACAAATAGTCATCTAAAGGAACAATAATAAAGTAAAATAAAACAAAAAGAAGTTGGTATAGGAAAACAACATAAAGAACAAAAACCAGCCAAAGAAAAAGCACAAGATATAGGCACTAAGACACATGTATTTTCACACACAGGAATCTCATAAAAACAGAAAACCAGAAGGTATAATATACTCACAAAGTACCTGTAAAGTGAAGGAAACAAAAGAAAAAATGAATGAAAAAAAGAAAAGAAAGCTTGATTCAGCATTATGAGACACGACTCCCCAAAGGTGCAGTTGGGTGATCGTTGACTATGCTGTCCATTCAGCCTATGCTTAATAGTGGATTGTTTCTCCAGTGAGAATCCCTTGGAGAAACTGAATTTTCCTCAAGAGGTTATTCATTAGAGAGTGCTTCTGTGTCCAGAATGAGGATGTGTTTCTACTGCTTTCAGCTCTAGGAACTCATTCAGTGCAGACCTGTGCAGCCTGTGCATGCTGCCACAGTCTGTGTGAGTTCACATGTGCATTAGTCCTTCTCTGTTCAGAAATCCTTCTTGCTTTTGGCGTCGTCAATCCCTTCAAGCTCTTATACTCTTTCTGCCTCTTCTTCCATAGGCTTCTTGAGGCCTGAGGCAGAGGGATTTGATGCATACATCCAGTATAGGACTGAATGTTCTAAGATCTCTTACTCTGTGCACATTGTTGGCTTATGGGCTCTGTATTTGTTCCCATCTGCTTCAAGAGGAAGCTTCTCTGATGATTGATGAGCAAGGCACTGATCTATGAGTACTGCAGAATGTCATTTGGAGTAATTTTTAAAAATTCCTTTAGCAGAACAGTAGTATTTGGCTTTTCCCCTTGGTCCTTGTTGTATCTAGTCCCAGGATTTTGGCCATCTAGCAGTGTCAGCTATGGGTTCCTTCTCCTGAAATTGTACTTAATTCAAATCAGATACCAGTTGGCCACTCCCACAAGCTTTGTGCTGCCATTGCACCACCATATTTTTCAGGCAGCTCACAATTTTAGATTGAGGTTTAGATATAGGTTAGGTTAGTATTTACCTATGTCCTTTGGTAGCATGCAGAGCATTTTTCAGTGCCATGAACAGTAGTCCATAGTCACGAAGGCTCTAGAAAGGTATAAGCTCTACTTTTCCTTGTTCAGTGAATTGTACAAGTGTTGTCATGAGCAATAGGGTAGCTATTAGTTTGTGGAGAAAAACCAATAGCCTTGGCACTAGTAAGGCTATTAGCATTCAGTTTTAACTTGTGGTCTCTTTAATCTAAAATGAGAATTCCAGGCTCTTTCAGAAGACAATTTTTCCCATCTTTTCATGTTAATTTAGTTTTCATTGATAGCAATTTTGTTTCACTTACTCATATTTCATCTCATATATTAATAGTTAATTAATTATATTACAATAGAAAACCTTGCCTCAAAAAGACATTTGATAATAAACTATTTGATTCTTCATAGTCACCTACATTAGCTTTGTAGTGGTTCTGGGCATGACCACTGAGCTCAAGCAATTATATATAGCCAGCACTGCTGGCATGCTTTATGAGGAGAAAGAGTTGATCGGTTAGGAAATTAAGTGGAAATTAAAGGAAAAGCCTTTATTCAATGAAATAAGAAAAAAAGAGAAATGGTTGCTTTGTCAAAAACAAGAGTCCAGATTTCAGGTTATGTTATTTCCAGCATCTACAAAGCCAGCTGCCCCATAACCACTAGTGCAGCCCGGGGAGAAATTTCGTTATCTTTGCTAGCAATTTTATTAGGAGAGAGGCTCTGTCTTTATGGCTTAGGCAGTGGAAAGGTGAACCAGTAGAAAGAATGGTGGTTAATCTAAGGATGACTTAAATCAAGTTGCTGCTTTGGGACAACTCATTTAGGGGTTGTCTGCTTTATTGGCAGTCTGTTCATTCCTGCTCCTGGTACCACCATTTCTTCCTTGCTTTGTGTTGATGTGGTTCCCATCTATTTTATCCTATTAACCCTTCCTGTTCATTCTGTTTTAACTATCAGTCTTCAGACAGCCATAAAATATAATTCCAAAGTAATATTTAGTGTTTCTCTAGTTTCCCCAGGTATGAGGGAACTGGAGAGATAGATCAATGCTTAAGAATGCTGCCTTTGCTGTTCTGAAAACCAGAATTCAGACAGCAAGACACACTTAGGAAGCCGACAGCCTGGAAACACATCTAACTCCAGTTCTGAGGGATCCCCCTTTATCTTCCACATCATCCTTTAACCTCCACAAGTACATTTGAGCACAAAAGTGTACATGCATGTGCACACGCATGTACACACACACACACACACACACACACTAAATGAACAAATGAAAGTTAAAAAGTTTTAAAAAATGTGATAAAACTGCTCTGTGGTTAAGAGTATTTGTGGAAGTATGTGTACCTGAGTTCTAATTCTCAGCATCCATGTACAAAGCTGGTTGTGACCAGCTCTTATAATCCCAGGACTGTGGGGTACAGGGACAGGAAGAGTGCTGTGACTTGCTGGCCACCAGCCTAGTTCCAATTTCAGTGAGAGACCTTTTCTCAAAGAATAAAATGGAGTGTGGTAGCACATAAATTAGGATCCTTACACTTGTGTGTATACATGTGTGTACGTGCACGTGCACACACGCATTTAACATAAAATAAGTCATTACAACACTTCTCAATGACTAGAAATATAGCTGCTATGTTTCAGAGCAGTTGACTAAGCTGCCTACATGAGGCCCCAGGTTCGATACTGCAGTAAAATATTTTTTGGTTATTGTATGCTTCTTTAGGCAAGAACATTTTTCTCATTGATCAAGAGTTAATTTTGCTTTTGTTTGTCAATATCAGTGGGACATGTTATTAAGCTATAGTTTTTAGGTTTCTTAACTTTGAAATATAACAACAGTAGTTGCATGACCTTTAATGCTGAAAAGGACAGAAAAACAGATAATACTAACAATGTTTCAATGAGCACTAAAGAAAAGATTCACTTTATTTATATGCATTATCTCTGGTCATAGTCTCTCTGTCTGTAACAGACACAAATAAACAGATGAGAGACAGACACACATACACACACACACACATA